TTTCCATGGATGATACGCTCCATCAGCTTCATGTTTCTTGGTTTACTTTTCATCGCTTGTTTGACAGCTACCATTATAGGCCAGATCTCAAATGTTCGCCAGATCAGCACTCGAGATAAAATAGCTTCCCTTCTTAGGTCATAATCTCCTAGATTGTTCGTTACCGATTTTCGATACACCTGTAACTAGTTAGTAGTAGTGGATAGATAGTTCCTGTGTATTTAATGTTCCTATCGCCGCTAATTCCGGGGGTGGGCCCAGATTGACCAGAAGAGCGGGAAGTGGGTCTACTCTAAATTTACCTGATTCTTGATTGGCTGATATTCCGCCTTCGCTGCCGATTGGCTGATTCCCAACTTTTTAGGTGAGATCTCCGTGTTTCAAAGCATCAACACCCAATGTCATAAGAGGGATGTCTCTTCATATCTTAATCCCAGTTCAAAGTTCTTAAATCATCATTATTGCACGAATACGCGATAAATCCCTGATATTTCCGTTCCTTCTGTGTATACATATGTGCTAAGTGTGGCTGAGGGGAGCTCCCCAGTCAAGTCGAAGGATCAGGATGAAGGATTCCAGAAAGAAATCATTTAACCCAGCAAACTGTTCTGGTTCACCGTTATGGCGTTTTTCATTCCGATTGAGCTTAGTTCAAGCATATTCCAGGCTCCTACTTTTTCACCAAGGTAAAGTTTCCCCAACAAGGTGCGGATACATTGTATGCAAGCTATCGCTGAAGATTTGTCGTTAAGTATCAATCTTTCTCCATTAGTACTCTGTGTGAGCATTAGTGAAAGACCGAAGACAATATGGCGGCCGACGGAACGCCTGGTAAGTATCTCAGGTGTGATGCTCTGCCCTCGAACTATTCTGCTGATATTATATTATACAGTTCTGGGCAGTCTTTTTGTGTATGCTCCCAATAAAGTCGCCCCTGTCATATTTGCTGTTGCCTATGCCCTCTCTGCGGCGGGCCATATCTGGCAGTGTTTGTGAGCAAGATCCGATCATATGTGGTATGATTGTATAGCTCACGGGTGTGAGTAGACAACATAACTCGTGGAATCTTGTCGGGCTCCATCCCTTATGTGCAGTTATGTTCACGGTGGGCTATTCCATGAGAGAATATGGCTCCTTCAACTATATATACACAGGAGATATGACAACCCTCATTATCTTCATCCTTGGACAGGTCTTTATATATGTTTGCCCGTCAGTGCTCTGCAGATCAGTGGTAGCAATTATCCATATTCTGTGAGAGCTAACTATATAACTAGTCCGCTTCTCGAACTTGCCAATTACCACGTACTCGGGAGAGTCCTTTACTATATCCCTCATCTTGCGCCATTTCCTCCGGGCAAGGTCGTGTCCACGTTTGGACTGATAATGCTAATCGTTGAGACTTTGAACGCGCTGGGTGTTGCACTTAGCTCTAACCCGTCAGCAGATTCGAGCCAGCAACACCTTGGAAGCAGCTTGACCATCGCAGCTTTATCCCTTCAGTTTGCGGTCATATTGACGTTTCTCGCACTCGCAAGCATTCTGCATCGCCGCTGTGCCAAAGCCCAGATACTTTCCGTATACTATCGCCCTATTATCACCATGTTAATCACGCTGTATATGAGTATGGCCTTGATCCTCATTCGCTGCATCTATCGCCTGATAGAACATCTGGGGAACACAGCTGTGGACCTGGAGGATATAGAGAAACTCAAAAATTTGAGCCCTATCCTACGTCATGAATACTACTACTATATTTTTGAAGCCTCCCTCATGCTGGTCAACTCTGTCCTGTGGAACATATGGAACCCTTCCCGCTTTTTGCCTTCCAACCACCTCATTCATGTTGCAAAAGATGGTAACGCGGAAACTATTGCTGATCAGGGGAAGGATGATCGGTCCTTGTTAGCAAAACTCGGCCATATCTTAACATTCGGCGTACTCTTTGGCAGGAAGACAGCAAGCCAGCCTCGGGATGATCATGCTGCATACGAGATGCTACCCGGATTGCGAAGCGGCCAAAACTAGTATGTATTAGCCAGCTAATCAGTCAACTGCATTTGACGCACACTCTTATTTATGGCAGCAACGCGAAAAATATTTCTTTTGTGCGTGTATATATGCTCGTGATAGCCGCCAGTGTTTATTAGTTGGTTTTTTACCAAAGACCAACGACCAACAACTCAAGTCGCTTAACAAGTGGCTTGTCGTTAATGACAGCAGCATACCAGTAGGTTAACTATGGATTTCTTCAATCACCAATACGAAGACAGGATAATGCAGAAAATGACACTCTTATACCGACTAGTCGGTAGCCGTCCCTCTCGGCAGGCATCGATAGGCACTCTGAGTCGACTCGGGATTGGACTGTCGTGGCCAGCAGCTCGTTAGAATGCCCAACACGAATATTGACAAGGCCTCTCGTACAACCAACATCTGGGACATGCAGACTCGGATTCTAACTGGCTGTTTGTCCGCAGATTCCGCGGCATTTTGTTGGATAAAGGATGTCAGTGCGATGGGTGCTGCAAGCAGGCTGGCTGGTCGCTGGCCAGGGTACCGAGTACATCATCCAAGGCTGCCATTGTCCCGCCGCTGGGCCAAAACATGGGGAAGTGGCATGTCGGAGCCATCGATCGGGTGACTTGGAAACAGTTGGATGGCTAACTAATAAGCTGCCTGCTTGTGTTTTATAAAGGCGTACCCACGGCGGAAACAAAGCTGGTGATGTAACTATCCGAGGACCATCGAGCAGGATGCGGAACTTGTACATATCCATGTCATACCAGGATGCCCTTCATATATGGACAGATTAGGGCAGTCGAGAAGCTAGAAATGCCGGGTGTCATAGGTGGCGTGCCTAAGCACATTCGGTTGAGTCAGTGGGTGCAAGAGGACCTGAAGGCCGGGGGGTGATGCGGCTAACAATTGGTCCCGTTTGCAATTCCAATCAGGACTCAATCGATCGAAAGCTCAGAGAGGCTGCAGCTGGCCATGCAGTGAGACTCCGTGGCCAGCATGCACGATTCCTTTTACTCCGGAACGAGGGGACGACTGCTTGCATGTCACACGATGGATGAGGATGGCTCGCTAGGAAGAGCCGTCTTGTCCGTTTGGTGTGAGATATTATTTATATAAAATTGCCGCGCCCTTGCTGCAGAGCATGCGATGACTTTTCCCCGTCCCAATAACTACGCTCTTGGAATGTGAGCAGAGACAAGCCTGTGTCGGAGAGAGTGAATAGCTGTCCATCGAGATGCCGTCTCTCAGGACGCCGTCCCCGCTGCGGCTTGTCACCAAGCCTATGAGCTCTGGCAGAGAACAACACCAGCTGGATCCAAATGGAGAGGTTACTCTTTTGATGACCCGGTTTGTGCAGTATGTCGACGATAGCTCAGACTGTCAAGCGCCCAAAGACTCATGCGGAACGAAAGCTAGCAGTCATGGCGAAGAGGGTATCTAGTGGAATCCCCAGTTTCATATTTCCCAAGTCTGGACAACGCTAACAATGATAGAAATCTCCATACGTGTTTCATCCCGGCATTTGATTCTTGCGTCATCCGTCTTTCGTGCGATGCTTGAGCATAGATTCGGTGAAAGCCAGACTCTGCGTACGGTGGGCAGCGTTGAGATCCCTCTCCCCGATGATGACCCGGATGCCTTTTTGATTATACTGAACATTATTCATGGCCATTTGCGTCAAGTTCCGCTTCAAGTGGACCTTCAGACGCTGACCCAGCTTGCAATACTAGTTGACAAGTATGAGCTACACGAGCGTATCGAAGTGTTTGCGGGCTTCTGGTTCGGTAATCTGATATCCACTATCCCTAACTGCTATACGGATGATATTCCATCTTGGACGTGTGTCTGCTGGGTCTTTAACAAGCCAGAAGAGTTCAAAAGGGTTACCAGGCTGATCCTGAGACATGGACGGGGTACCTTGACCTTCAATGAGTTACCAGTCCCGTCCTTCGTTGCTGGTGAGCAGCTACCCCTGATGCATAACCGACCTAGGTATCAATGATGAATGCATTGGCTGACTGGCCACATTATGGCAGATGCAATTAATAGCCGACGAGAGGAGGCTATAAGGCGGATAATATCTTCTCTCATTGGTCATCTAGATGACTACCTGGAGAACGAACATTGTAGCTTCGAGTGTGATGCTCTGATGGTTGGTGCCTTGACAAAACGTCTACGAGCATTCAATATCCTGCCACACCGTCCGAAGTCGCCGTATACAGGCCTCAGTCTCCAGGACTTTACTCATCGTTTTCGACATGGCATGTATTTTCCAGCTGCCCAGAGGACGAGCACCTTTTTCTACAGCCACTCGAAGTGTGCTATCCCTTCTATTGATCGCATGCTGGCGGAATGCGAACAGCTATCGGATGGACTCGATATGGCTGACTATAAGACTGCCCTGACATTGGCTCTGTGATCGTATACGAGAGGGGTACTTCTACGCTTCAAGGTAGGAGTACGATCATAAACTGTATAGTAATGTACAGAGGTGCGCCCAAGTAATTACTCTGGGACATTGTTCGAGGACAATATTTCATGATTATGACGGGTAGAATGTTCTGTAACTTAGGCTGAAACAAGGAAGGGCTGATACCGGAAACGTCAGGGGGAAGGAAATGACAGATCAAACATGGCATAATCATTCTATCTATTTCTCATGATACTCTATACCTCAGCTATAGTTAGATTGTCTTATGTTTAAAATATATGTCAAACAGCATATACAATGTCAGTCTATAATAAACGATCAGAACTAAAAGTGGGGTAAAAGTCTAGTTGTTATCTTGCTTCTGTGCAGCGATAACAACATCTAGAGTCGTCTTGCCCTCGAGGAGATCTCTGGTGGTGGAGAGGATGGAAGACCAATCCTCAAAAGTGGTGTATGGGATATTATCACGTTTGCAGATAATAGTTAGGTCTGTATTTTATTGTCAATTCAATCAATTTCAATATCCGTTGATCAGCAAACCAGCAGGGTAAGCACGTACCGTGGCCCTTTTTGGCGAAGAGCAGGTCTGTCTGGCGGGCAGCAGAGATGTCGGATACCCCATCTCCGGCATAGAGGAGGATCGGGCGGTCAGACTTGGGGATTGCAGCGTAAGGACGAATCTCAAGGGACTTGTCATGGCCAAAGTGGCTGTTTGCACGTAAGCATCGAGTATTAGTCAAGGAAATTGACTATCATGGGGCAATAACATGAACACACCTATCATCATGGAAGTCAATCTGCCATCCTCCCTTGGAGTTGATATCCTTTCCGTTTCTACTGGCAACCTGGTTGGCAACGATCTGGATGTTCTCGGGCTCGTGTCCGAGGAGCTTCACCAAGAGAGCGTGGATGATAGGGACCATGCCAGACGACAGCACCACAATAGGGACGTTGTTGTTCTTGGCCCAGTTGTAAAATTCGGTGAAGTGTGGGTCGAGTGTGACTCTCTGGCAGAGGAACTCGACACATTCATCAAAGGGGGTGTCAATACTGTCAAGCATCTCCCGGAAGCCATCCCTAATTGTCAGGAGACAGCGCGGTCAGCAAAAAAGCCGAATGGGTTTCATTATTAAGCAGCAGGACGATGGCAATCGAGCGTTTACCGGAAAGATATTTTGCCCTCGAGGATGGCGGTGTTCCTTGCGCTTCGTTCGACAGCGCCAAACCCGAGGTGGTCAGTCTGGAGGGGTCTGGTTAGCCAAGTGTTCATGGGTGTAGAAAGCATTCAAGCAAGAATATAGATAATTACCAAGTGATCATTGCCTGCGAGTGGCATCCACAGTTAGACTCGCATCTCTCCCTGTCTGTTCAAATGGTTTTCCATGAAGCATACTATCCTGCAGCGTGATGGTGCCGTCAAAATCGGTAAAGAAGATGATCTTTGGCTCGCTCTTCATAGCGGGCAGCGAGTCGAGGGATCCCATGATGGCCGTAGCAGTGCAATTGACACTATAAAGCTGCCGCAGCGGTCGTAAGTCGGTGTCTTTAGCAGGATTGGTTGTATGGTTGTAGCGGTGGGTTTTGTAGGGGGGTTTTAGTGGGATGTCTGCCCATCTTTATATCCACGGCGAACATCGCTGCGTTCCGCTGGAGATTTCCACCACCAGCGCCACCGTCTGCCTCCATGTACGGACAGAAAAATTCAGCATACACGCACCTCTCCGGCCCGCATCCCGTCGCACTCGACAGCGCACACGCACCCCGTCTCTCGCCAGGTTGGGCAGCTTGCCCCCAAGGGGCGCCAGACGGGCGGCGGCCAAGGTACCTGGTACTTGCGCTCTGGCGGCGGCGCGCGGCAAAAGCGAAGTTCCCGTGACCTGCGGCTCTTTTTTGTTCGGCGGTGACGGCGCTTCTTGGCGCTTGTTCGTCTGCCTCTTTTGCCTTTTTCCAACGTCAACCGACGAACTTCCGACCACCGTCGACGCCAGCTTCGTCTTTCACCACCCCTCGAGCAGGACAGGACCTCGACTGCAAGCAGCAGACGCCCGGAACCAGTGGTGAGCGAGTCTGGTTACTCGCCTGCAGCATCCCCGACACGTTTCCTGCGATGTGCTGAACACGAGACAACAGTCACATCAGCCAACTAAGACCGAGCAACAGACATCAGAGTCAACACCCACATCCAACTCCTCCTCCTCCTCCTCCCAGTCTCCCACAGCTGCGGATGGCGGGTTGACGGGTGAGCTGTGTATGACTTACTTATGGCCAAGCGAAGTGCTCTCTCTTCTTTCGACCAGTCCGGACAGCCCGCTGAGAAGAAGGCTGCTGTAGAGACCTCGTCTCCAAGGTAAATTCCGTCTCAAGTCTCCATCTTCACTTCCCATCCATGCTTTACTTTTTTTTTTTTTTTTTTCAACCTTTCATACCTGTTTCCCCCTCGTTTTCCTCATGGTCTTCACCTTTTCATCATCCCTCCTACTCAACTGTTGGTTTTGTTGCATATTTTCTTTTCATCTTGGATGGTCATTTCACTTCGGCCTTTCCCCCCTCCTTTACTCTGCATAAGTCTCTATATGATACACTAACGCCATGGAACGCAGAGTAACTCGATCGGCCGCCAGGCTTGCTGCCGGCAGTGCTGCCAGTGTGTCAGAGTCCACCTCGCCGCCTAATCCTGCCCCTCAAACCCGGAAACGAAAGGCTCCTTCCCGCCGTGAGGTAGCTCGGGCTGACCCTGAGGTCCCTCCGTCACCGCAGCCCGCATCGCGCTCCAAACGCCAGAAGTTGACTCCTGCTCGTCAGCCTGCCTCTCGGCACAGTGCTCGACAGTCTGCAGCCATGTCTCAGCCTAGGTATGCAGATATCTATTTTCAATATTCGACTTGTTTATGCATTAATGGGGGGTTGTGTTTGGTATAAGTACTAATATTGATGTGGCATAGATCCCCCGGAGGGTCTGAAGAGAGACCAAAGTCCGTCGCCGCTTCGTCTTCATCCTCGAAGAACCGCACTAGTCGAAATAGAAAGACCACAAGAGGTGTGCAAGCTATCCTAGCGTACCTCCAGGCTCTTTTCTGATGAATAAACCCTGCTGACATTTTCATTCCTCCAAGACTCATCCCAACACGTTTCTCCACCCCGTCGACAGAAAAAGAGAGGTAAACGAGATACTGATGTCGACATGAAAGATGGAGCCGAGGAACGTAAGGAGAAGGCGAATGAGAAAGATGATGAAGAAACCTCTCCAACCAGCGATAGCCATGAAGAAGCCAACCAGATGGATACCGCCGAGGATGATGAACATGAATCGTTTCGTAACGGCATCTTTGGATCAGGGGGCCATTTTGGCCTACAAAGTACGCTGCGTGCTCTCAGCGGCATGATGTCTGGCATGTCTTCTCGACTCCGGGATATCCTGTCGAATTTGAAGACAAATGAAGATCCTTCCGTCCAGTTAATTGCATTGCAGGAACTGTCAGACCTTCTTTTAGTTTCGAACGAGGACAATCTTGCTGGCCACTTCTCCCCAGATCCTTATGTGCACGAGTTAGTAAATCTGATGCAGCCGAATGACTTCGGAGAAGAAAACCCCGAAATAATGCTGTTAGCTTGCCGATGTCTGGCGAACATGATGGAAGCTATTCGAGGCTCCGCCGGCAGCGTTGTCCAGGGGGGCGCCGTGCCCATTCTCTGTCAAAAGCTGCTGGATATCCAATTCATTGACCTGGCTGAGCAAGCTCTAAGTGTATGTCCGTTCTAAAACTTCCCAGCGATCTATACATACAGACATCAGGTACTAACGCATTTTGGTATACTAGACTCTGGCAAAGATATCTGTGGACTTCCCTGCATCGATTGTGCGGGAAGGAGGTCTCACAGCCTGTCTCACATATCTTGATTTTTTCCCCACCAGCACACAACGTACCGCCGTCACAACAGCTGCGAATTGCTGCCGTAACGTACCGCAAGACTCGTTTCCTGTTGTGAAAGATGTCATGCCCATACTACTAAATGTGCTCTCCAGTAGCGACCAAAAGGTTGTTGAGCAGGGCTGCCTGTGCGTTTGCCGCGTGGTAGAAAGCTTCCGATACAAGCCAGAGCAGTTAGAAGAATTAATTGAACCGGACCTTCTAAGGGCTGTCCTTCGATTACTCCTACCAGGTACCACAAACTTGATCGGTCCACACATTCACACATATTTCCTCCGCATCCTAGGAATAATATGCAAATCAAGCCCGCGCTTGTCTGTCGAGCTCCTGAAAATGAATATAGTAGATACTTTGTATCAAATCCTCACAGGAGTTTCACCACCTTCGGACGAAAGCATTGGCCCGGCCAAGTCTGATACCGTGCACATTATGCAGGCCTTGATCCATCGGCCCCGCGAGCAAGTTTACGAAACCCTCAATATTGTCTATGAGCTCCTCCCTGCTGCATCAAAAGGATCAGTTGTTCTTTTAGATGATCAGCTGCGTTTCACGCTTGGTGGTGGCCCCCTACCACTCTCGGCCACCCCCAAAATCAAAGCCATGGGTGAGAAGCGATTGGAGTTATTGAAAAAATGCCAGCCAGAAATCAAACGGTTTGCCACGATTCTCTTGCCGACCCTTACGGATGTCTATTCTAGTACTGTGAACCTGAGGGTAAGGCAAAAGGTACTGTTGGCACAACTAAAGATGGTCCAAGCCCTTGATGTCAACATCATAGAAGAAGCATTGCGCTCTGTACCGTATGCGTCTTTCTTGGCAGGTATATTATCCCAAAAGGATCACATATCTCTCGTAGCACTTGCTTTGCAGTGTGCAGAACTGTTATATGAACGACTGAGAGATATTTACCAATATCAATTCCATCGAGAAGGGGTCATAAACGAAATCAAAATATTAGCTACCGCGTCAGTGCTGGGTAAAGATGATAAATCGGCAGAGGAGAAGACTGGTTCGGTTCTCGGATCAAAACATCATATTTCTCACGATGATGGCGTGAACCACGGACACGATAATGACAGTGGGAATGAACATGATATTCAAGATGACATCCACGATCATGAGGATGAGAGTAATGATGAGGATGATTTTAATGGGGACTATCCTGACGATCCAGAGCACCATGATGAACATGAACATGAACATGATGACGCTTCAGACAGCGAAGCATCCTCGATTGTTCACCCTCCTGCTCAATCTCTTGACCACACTCTCCAAGACCTTATAACAAGCGGTGCCAAACATTTCCTTGAACTCTACGAAGAGAGCAAGACTGCTGGCATGCATGAAAAGGCGGAAGTCGTACTAGCAACCCTCCGTGGCCTCACTAAGAAAATAGAGGATTGCTACAAAGCTCCCGTTGTGGGAAACAGAGGCTTTAAGCTCTTTTCCGAGCTTGCAGCCTATTTTGATCAAGATGCCTTTGACAGCATCACAAGCTATGAACTATTGAATTCTGGTATCATTCGTGTGCTTGTTGATGTCATTGAGGACTCAAAAGGTACGTATTTCTCCTATGAGTGATACACTGAAGACATTCTTAGTTGTTGAACGTTACTAATGTCTCCATATAGGTCAAGCTGGTGCAGACTTCTTGAAGGCATTCAAGTGCTCACAGTCGCCTTTAAAGCACATCTCTGAGCGCAAATCTGCATTCGGTGCCTTTATCCACCAACTTCAAGACCTCCTTAGTCGTACCGAGAATTTTGAGGTTGTTACTGTCCACCATAATGCCTTTGATAGCAGAAGTACCCTATCCATGCTGTCAAAGCAAATCCGGCTCCGGTTGGTAGCTGAGGAGGGTTCAAATATACCCAAGCCGTATAAGAATATGATGGTTTCTATCCATGCCATTGCCAATTTCAAGACTCTGGATGACTACCTTCGCCCAAGAATAAGTCTCTCTGAGCGGCCGCGACATTCTCGGCATCGCGACCCAACCTTCCCACATCTCCCTAGTGGTACAAACCCGCAGGATCCGGAATCAGCTAGCCGGGGAAGTGATACCGGATCCCCCCACTTGTCCGACTTCCCATCATATCGGTTGCCAACTGGGCGAGACAGCTCAAACGGAACCAGTTCCAGGGGAACAAACAAAGGAAGATCAGCTCGCCCCTCAACACTCCAGGGTTCAGGTAATGGAGAACGTGAAGGAGTGGGACGTAGGCGCTCAGCTCGGCACCAGCCTCCACCGCCGCCCATGGAAAGTGATGACACTGATGGGCCATTAGAGTGCGCTGATGAACCAAACGGTAGTGATGACGAAGAAGATGACGAAGAAGGTGATACCCTCGACACCATTGTGGATGACATTGATGACGATCTATCGGAAGATGACGTTCCTGACCCCTCAGCCGTCAATATGGAGGTTGCGTCTACAGGCAAGGTGACTGCGAGAAAGGAGGACGGCACAAGAGTTTCTACTCCTTCCCAGTCCACCCCTGTAGCCAAGTCATCGACAGCATCCCTCGCAAGGTCGAGCCCCCAATCATTTGGCCGGTCTCTTTCCATGGCTGGCAGGTCCTTCACATCATATGCCGCTGCAATGCTAGCCATGCCTCAAGACTGGCATATCGAATTCGTTGTGAATGGGAAACCCATAACAAATGACACTACCATCTACCGTGCAGTCCAGTGCAATCGAGCCAGTGATAACAACTCGCCTGCTAGAAATGTCTGGTCGACTGTCCACACTATCTATTTCAGGCGAGCTCAGGGGCCACCGCCGCCCGAGCCAACAACACTTACTCCTGCCTCCTCGAACGTGTCTGCCATGGTGGACGACGTTGACATGCCAGAGTCCCTCAATAACGTTCCAACAACAGCATCGATTCTTCGACTCCTTCGAGCTTTGCACAATCTAAATTCTCAGTCAGATGATGAGTTGGCAAACGACAGCGGAGTGATTGGAATTGCACCAGAACCTCCGTCGCAGTTTATCAACACGAAACTGACCGCAAAACTTAATCGGCAGCTTGAAGAACCTTTGATAGTGGCAAGCAGCTGTTTGCCTAGCTGGAGTGAAGACCTCGGTCGTCATTTTGCCTTCCTCTTCCCATTTGAAACGCGACATCTCTTCTTACAGTCTACGTCTTTTGGCTACGCTAGGTCCATGGTTCGCTGGCAAGGTGCTCAGTCAAATGACGATGGCCAGCGAGAGCGCCGAAGAGATGACCGCGCCTACAGCGGCCGCCTTCAGAGACAAAAGGTACGAATCTCACGGACACGCATTCTTGAGTCAGCTATGAAGGTTCTCGAGCTGTACGGTTCATCGCCAAGTGTCCTGGAAATCGAATACTTTGAGGAAGTTGGAACCGGGTTGGGACCTACACTTGAGTTCTATTCCACGGTTTCCAAAGAGTTTGCTAAGCGCAAGCTAAAGCTATGGAGGGACTCGGATGCTAGCGGTGATGGAGAATACGTTGACAATAAATTGGGGCTTTTCCCAGCGCCGATGAGTCAAGAGCAGGTTACACAGGAAGCAGGAAAGAAGCAGCTACAGTACTTCAAAGCGCTAGGCAAATTTGTCGCTCGCTCCATGCTTGACTCGCGTATTATTGACATTGGATTCAACCCCTTATTCTTCAGTGTTGGCCGAGGCGCATACACCAAGAAGCCCCCATCCATTGGTTCCGTGAAGCGAGTAGATGCAGAGCTTGCGAATTCTTTGAAGTTTTTGAAGAAGTTTGCCGACAAGGCAGCTGCTATTAAAGCGGACGCTTCTCTATCGGCAGCGGAAGCCGCTTGTGCAATGGAACAATGTGAAATCGATGACACGAAACTCGCAGACCTCGGCCTTGATTTCACATTGCCTGGATACCCACACATTAAACTGATACCTAATGGCCAGAACACGCCTATTACTATGTCAAATGTCGGGCTATACATTGAGAGAGTCATCGATATGACCCTTGGAACTGGGATAAAGGCACAGCTTGACGCATTTGCCGCTGGATTTTCTCAAGTATTCTTATATTCATCATTAAAGACCTTTACACCCGATGAACTGGTGATGCTTTTTGGCCAGGTTGATGAAGATTGGTCTATCGAAAGTAAGTCATTTCTTTCTCCATTTATCTGTATACCATAGAAGATTTGTCTAGGCTATTTACTGACTTTACCTTACCAGCCCTCATGGATTCTATCAAGGCCGACCATGGATTTAACATGGATAGCAGAAGTGTTCGAAACTTGCTCGCAACCTTGAGCGAGTTCAACCTCCAACAGCGTCGCGACTTTTTGCAGTTCGTCACTGGAAGTCCCAAGCTCCCGATCGGTGGTACGTAAACAGTTCTCACATTACACCCCCCACCCCAATCTCCCTGTTGCTTCTTTCTCTTCAAGTGTGACTGACCATAGCATCTGCAATATAGGCTTCAAAGGTCTCACACCAATGTTTACCGTGGTCTGTCGGCCAAGTGAACCACCATACACCCCTGATGACTATCTCCCCAGTGTCATGACCTGCGTGAACTACTTGAAGTTGCCAGACTACTCCTCTGCCGAAGTTCTCCTCAACAAACTCAGCATCGCAATGCGTGAAGGACAAGGCGCATTCCACCTCTCTTAAAAAGATAAAGACCCTTAACACCACCTCTATTACATTACCCGGTTTTACTTTACTTGTCCCTGGGAACAACATCATAGTAAATAATCCTCTCTCATCATCCCTGCCCAACTACAATTCTTTTCATGAAATTCTTTTCTCTTTTGATTAGAACCTTACACCACCTCTTGCAAGAAAATGACTTTTTACTGCCTCCAGCACAAAATGGATTGAACGGGAAAGGCCGAACGCGAAATGATATGCATTTGAAATTGATATGATATCGGAATGACAAAGGGTGGCAAGCGGCGTTCTACTAAAAACACTCGATCGTTGTTTCTGTCTTTGTATCTTTAGTAGCTCAAGGGGCCAGATCTTTAACTACATTAATTGAGATGTCTTTTGCTACACTACATACACCTGCAGCGATCTTCAGCTGCCCTTTGCAGGCAGTCTCACCTAACTAGCTATAGGCCGGGTAGTTATTGTCGAAGTCACGTTTACTAATAATATCGGCGGCTCTTGTAGGGCTGGGCGGTCGTTGGTTCTTATCTTATCGCTAACTAAACTTAACTTGGGCTCAGCAACCATCAACTTCACTAAATTCCGGTCGACGCAGAGCAAACCCACCACTTTACTGATAACTAGTGTCCATCGTGAACTGCATATTAGACCCTGCTCGACCTGTTCATTCCCGCGGGCCTGTCCTCCAGGTAGCTAACTTCTTAGTTTACTAACTGCGGTCGAAGCTCCCGATAGTTAGCCGCTATGGACGAGTTTGCGCAAACCCGCGGCGTTGACGACCTGTTTGATGACGACGTGATACCCGTTGCATCGCAGCCTCAGCCAGTCCATGAGCCTGTTGACGAGCCCGATACCGCGCCGTATTCCTCCACACAGCCGAAAGAAGAACCGATAGATTCGGCCGGTCCGCCGTCGCAGGTTGAGCAAGCCCTCCCTCCGAAACAGGACGCGGCAACATCGCAGCACCGCAAACGAGGTGGAGCCGGTCGAGGAAGAGGGAGAGGGAACGGATTTTCTCGCAGGCTGAGACCTGACACATCCAAATCGCCTGAGAAATCTGGCGGCTCGCCTTCGGCTCACCCTGCTGTAACCGAGACTCCCACCCAGCATCAGGCTCTGAACGGTGATGCGGATGCTCAAGAAAAGCAGCCAGAGAAAGGACAGTCTGCTGATGCCTCGAAAGTAGATAAGAACCTTGATAGCACTGAAGATGTGCCCCAGGAGGCAGAGCAAGCTAAAGAGACTGCATCACCGAGGGTCCCGGCCGTACGAGGCGATCGGAGTAGAACAGGGGGCATTAGAAAGGTATGTTTCTCTTTGAGAAAGCACAGTTGCATGGCCATATAATAACTGACTTATTATGTCCAAACAGCCTAAATTGACCGAGGAAGAATTATCCGAACGGATGGCCGCGGCTAAGCTCACTGCTGCCAAAAAGGCTGCTGCTCATGCGCGAGCCGAAGCAGACGAGGCCTCTTTTCAGGAGCGTGAGAAGATAGCTCTGGCGAAACGGTTGGAGGAGCAGCAAAACCGCCGTGTCATGCTTAGTGAGAGAGAAAAGAACCGACAGAGGAAGCTGAATTCACAGACAGGTCGCGAATGGGACGCAGAGAAATCGCAGGATTCCTTCTCTGAACACAGCCGGGGAGGCTCAGCATATCGCAGAGGAGCCCACGGAAGTATAGCAAATGATACACGTGCTACGACACCCCCGACGTCGGCAGGCGACTATGATAACCAACCCAGTCCACCCTTTGGAGATCGAGGGCGAGGGCGAGCTAGTCGAGGTGGAAGAGGCCAGGGGAGAAGAGGTGCCGGCAGAGGTCGAGTCCTAGAGGACAGAAATACCGAAGTATCCCCTCCAGAGCAGCAAGCAAAGGTTCCTGCATCAGACGAATTCCCCGCTCTGCCTGGTTCAGAGAAGCAGGGTGATACTAAAGGGGAGAGGACCGGTGCAACGGCGTGGGATAAAGCTCCTGATGTCTTGTCAACGAAGGAACCCTCGGGCACTTGGGCTGATCAAGTAGAGATTAGTGAGGAGCTGGAAAGGGGCGCCACAAAGTAGGCCAGTATGGTTTGTCCGCTTCAGTGTTTATGAGTTATGCCCGTGAAGATATATGGGGTTCGAGTCCCCTCGATGAGAGGATAAAATGGGTTCAGTTACAGTGTTGTATGACTTTTTTTGACGCGGTTTGGTAGAAGTGCGTTCAAGTATGTTTGCATAGGTCACCTATTGGATATTCCCGAATCACTATCTATATACCCAACTTTTACATCTCCAAGCGTAGGCAGCACTGGTAGGTCCACTGATGAGAAAGGAGCGTTTAAAGCAAGAATTTGACGCATCCAGTCTTCCGTTGGAGCCCTGCTGTGACCAGTAACACAGCTTAACGGAAGGTCCACGTTAAAATCATCCCACAACCTTTTGAGGCTCACAATTTAGGTTGCGGCTCTGTGGTCGCCTTAGGTTAATTTCCTAGTTAAAAGGTTAAGCTGACCTCGACTAGTTATAGATACCTTCGTCTGACGAGGCGTTTCATTCAAGAAGCGGTAACTTGACGAATATTTCAGTGAATTCCTTTCGATCCCTGCCCTAGACTAGTTATAACTAGTTATTTAACTAATCTACGCTGCGGCCGGAAGAAAACCGAACACGCCGCGGGGCGGAGTAACTAACGAGTTAACTGAGACAACCCAGTTACGGAGTACAAATGATATTTCATGACTATCCTCCGCCATAAACACTGGTCATTACGGACTCGAGATAGATAAACGACCCCGAAGCGAGGTCCCTCTGGTGAATTTGGCGAATTGGACTGTCCGTGGGTGAGTTGACTCCGTTCGCACCCAAATACCGCGAGTCATAGACTTGTGACCAACCAGCTTGCTAACTAACTTGTTGGTAACTAGTTAAAGCCAGGCTTCCGCACTTCTTCATCAGTTCATGTTTGGACTTGGGGAGTAATAGATCTCCCTGGATAATTAACCGCTACATAACCAACCAGCCCTACTATCGCTTGACCGCAAAGATAAAGAGTACCATGGCGACCTTGGAGACTATCCCGGAGGAGGTTTTTCTTGCTATTTTTGACCATCTTGGATGCCATCGTTACAATGAGAAGGCCTTTTTGCCATTTGCAGTCATCTCCAAACGCTGGCAGCGTGCCATCGAGCGCTTCCCCTTCAAGAGCTTTAAACTCAACAACACCCAGCTGTCGACTTTTGCTTCTCTTTTCCAGGGCGCAGCCAGAGCCCACAGAAAGGCTCTGGTCAGGAAGATAGACCTCACTATCGAGCTGCCACTTTATGACGGAGATGACTGTCATCAGCACGAAGAGCTCAATAATCAAATATTCTCCACTGCTATCCATGATTTATTCCAGGTCCTCGAAACGTTTAATGAAGATGAAGCTGTCAAGGCTAATTTTACAAGGGGGGTTGGAATTGAAATCAGGCTGAACTCCATTGAATCCCCAAAGGATGAAGACATTCCTTATGCTGATAAAGAGTACAAATTTCAAGGAACCTTCATTAAGCTCCTAAACCCCGAAAGATTGCCCACACTAGAGTGCGTGACGTCCTTTTACCCCATCGCCTGGATGTGGTCTCGTCGAATTGACCCTGTTGCGGGGATACAAATGGCAAGCAAGTTGAAAAATCTGAATCGTTGCATTACTTACTACCGTGATTCGTGGGAGTGTACTGAAGGTGGGACTAAAGGAGTCAAAGAAAAGACGCTAATAGATAATCGACGCGGTTTGTCTCCTATGCCGACCATAAAATTACCATAGCTAACTTAACCGATACAGATTTCAGTCTTGCCTTATCAAATTATACTCAGTCTGTGAAAGACTTGAGCCTTAGATCAGACTCATGGGCTGGATGTATGCTTGACGAAGCAATGCCTCCACCAAAGTTTATTTCATCCGCCTCGTCGACGGACACGTTCAGTCTCGCAATACATGAATTCATTCAACGAGCGAACGTTTCAGACATATCCATTTGCGGACTTCTTCCTTACTCTTCCGATATATTATGGCCATATAAGGATGTTAAAGATGCCCCAAAGCCACTGTGGCCAAATTTGACAAGCTTGTGTATTTCTGTCAGTGCCCATACACCCGATGGGGACTGGTATTTTAAAGGGGATCCAGCTCTTGCGTCTGACTCTGAATTCATGGGTCCAAATGATAGAAAATATATCAACGATTATTTCCGAGTTTCTGATCAGCCTGTGAATATGTTTCGGTCTATCCCGGTCCCAGAAAGGATCGATCCTTTCTTGAAAGCGATGGCACTAGTTATTCGTCATGCTTCTTCACTCGAGTCCCTGCATTTATGTTTTGGAGAGGTAAAGCTTCAACCAGGATATGTGAAAGCGGAAGGCCTGACACGGCGGTTTAGTATTTATTATAAAACTCCTGGCGACCAATTCTGGTTCGACAAAAGGGGCCATCGGAGAAGACCCAGAATAATATGCGATGTTGGGAACAACTGGCGCGCGAGCAAGGAAATCGAACAGATGTGGATGGAAGCACTGGGGCCAAATGGGCTGATAAACTACCATCATTGAAATGTCCATGCATATTATGAATTGCTTATATTGTATTTTTCCTGTTAAGCAATATGCCTCCAGAAACGAAGTATATGCTTGTTGACTAAACTAGAGGTATGAGGAGGTAAAACTCTAGCTGAAGCGCCCATCGCAAATGAAGACTAATTGTGGAGATCTCGAATTGATCCCTACAGTGGGTTCTTCCACTTCTTCATACTTGTGTATGACTTCTCCAGGTTTTGAAGGTACTTAATAACAGTTTCGTATCTTTCTTTTCGTGCCTCATGCTCTTTTTTCTTTGCATCGGCGTCCTTTAGCTGCTGAGCATTCAATTTCTTGCTCTTGTTCTTTTTCTCCTCGTCCTCTGCAGACTTGATTGCTGCCTTAAGCTCCTTTTCCAATTCAGCACGAGCTTTGGTATAATGGCCATACTGGTCATCAAAAAACATCTCAGTCTTTTTGATGGTAGCTTCAGTGCGCTCTTTTATCCATTTGTCCCATTGCTTTCCAAGGCCCTGAGGCACGTAATCGTGGAAAACTGTTGTGGATTTCTTTTCAAATTTAATGTTTGCGGTTGCTTCGTCAAGTTCCGTGAGAATATTCGAAATCCGTTGTACTTGTTTATTGAACACGGTTCCGACATCCTTCATAGCCATATACTTATAAGCGAACATGACATCTTTGAATCTGATAATAGCCTTGACTAATTCTGATTCTTGAAGCATATTCTTTGTGAGAAAATCTCTGTTGTTGACTGAGTTCTTCATGTCATCGACAAAAATTTTATCGTTACCCCATGCCTAAATAATGTGTTAGCTAGGAAGGGCTGAAGAGTTGTAGGCATGAACGTAGAACGACTTACTCTTCCTTTGATCCCATTTGGTGCACCAGGAAGTAAAAAGAATTCATCCACCCAGCTTTTGGTGATAGGGAATTGATCTGCAATCCATTGTACACCAAGTTTAGAAACTCCCCCAATCTCTGGGAGGAAGTTCTTGTTGCTGTCGGCCCAGTAAGCTGTCATGTACGTGCAAAAGTCCACCATTTTGCTACCTGATTTGTCAGAAGGGTCAATAAATCTCTTCCCTGCTTGTTTAGATATTTCCTCAGAGAAGAGGCTAATAAGCTGAGTTTCCAAGACATGTTCGGTTGCAAGCCCATAATTGGGGTCGTGCTTTGGGGAATTTAACATTTTATAATCGGTCTTATAGAGTGAGTTCAGACGTCTTCGGATTTCAAAATCCCCACACTCTTTTGGGTTTTTCAGGGCAAAAATAACATTCGTCCCAACATTCTTGTTCTAAAATCCCATTGATAGTTAGAAACAACCACAAATTTCATGTAACTCATTGTATACGTACCCCTATTAGTTTAGCAGGACCAGGATAAGGTGCCGTGTTGGTAACCAAGTCACAGAACTGCACCTTTTTTCCATTTTTGCTCGGTTTAAAAACCGGAGGAGGGGGTATGCTTGTTTGTGTTGAGGTACTGCTAGTTGCAGTTAGACTTCCGCTCGTTGAGCTTGGAGTGCTTGTCGAAGTTGTAGACTTCTTTGCCCTTCTCTCCAATGAATGAGATTCCCACCCAAAGAAACCGGTTCCTCTGATTGCAAGGTGTGAAACTTCTTCATCATCTTCTTCACCTCTATCCTCGTCTTTGAAATATCCTGGCGGCCATGCTTGTACATTGGAACATGCTGAGCACCCACCAACTCCTTTTCCAGGCTTACAGATTGGAGAAGTGGTTGGCCGCCCCTGAGTTGTAGTTGATGATACCTGGGTGCTACTATGCTTGGTCGAGCTAGATTTGTGGGAGCTCGTAGAAGAAACACCAGGGCGATCTGTAGTGGTTGGTCCAGGCTTTATTGTGGATGATGTCCCGGCGTTACCATCTTTAGATGTTGACCTAGAGTGGCTCGTAGTAGGTGAAATAGGGTGTGTCTCGCTATCAGACGTTGGCTTGCTGTGGGTCGAGGTTGCAGACTTAGGTCTCGATGTTGTCGTTGGTGCATCGTTGGTTTTCGTAGTTGGCTTATCCCTGGTGGTAGAATTCGGTTTATTGGTGGTTGTCTCTTTCGGTTTTTCCTCTGTGGTGGTCGGCTTGTCCTTCGTAGTAGATTTTGGTTCCTCTTTGGTAGTTGATTTCGGCTTATCATCCGATTTAGGCTTGTCAGTGGGCTTGTCGGCCGGTTTAGACTCGTTCTTGGGATTAGAGCCATTTTTATCACCTGGTTTCCCTGAACCAGACTTTCCGCCGCCCTTCCGTCCTCCGCCTTTACCAAATAATCCACGCACATCCTTATCTAACCCTCTGCGTTGGTTATGAGATTCGGGGCAACCTTCCATTCTCTTGCATCCCAAACTGCTTCCATATTCATGTGGCGCTTGAGCCAATTCAGCGAAGACATGGTCTTCTGAGGGTTTATCCCAGCCCTTGCCGCAAATGGGGTTGGCCCAACTGCCAAAAAATACACCTGCATCTAGTCCGTTCTCAGCCACGGTTTTGGCAGCTCTGATGAAGGTCTCGAGTCTCTTGATTTGACCGACTGGCAGAGCCACAAGCCCAGCGTCCAGGATGGTCTCGAAAGTAGTCACGAGGACGCCGCATAGAATATCATCTAGGCGCGAAAGCCCGGACACAAGGGTATCTATGATGACTTTTCCAAGTCCGTCAAGATCACATCTGCATTCTCCAGTCACGAATTCATGACCGCTATCGTCTATATAAGAGAGGCCCATTTCCTTCATTTGTTGAAAGGAAACACCAAAAGAAAGACACTTAAATATGAGTGAGCATATTTTCATACTCGAACGTCTGGGTGATGATCCTTGGAGCTTCATACCGAAATATCATTTAATGGCCCAGACTGATGAGTTTCACAGTACTTCCTGCAGGGGGCCAACGTATTTTCAGATTGCCAGAAACCGCCATAGTTAAAACACCAGCCTTTCTCGGCGAAGGCTGCTATAGTCTGGGCATCAGATTGATGGTTTGAATTGGGGTTCTCTGCTTGAGTTGCCGGTAGGAGAAGGCTAAACAGCCAAAGAAAGAAGAAAATCTTCATGGTCAATGTTAAAGAATGTGATAAGTAGTGTGGTATTTGGGTATTTTGGCGTAAGAAAAGAGTGTATTATCGAAACGAGTGTGGTAAAAAGTAAAGACCGTAGGAGCTGGCAAATCCAGACAATATATCAAATGAATGTCAAGATAGGAAGCGAGGGCTTTCTGGATAATCTCTGTATCCCCAGCTGTAGAGGCGGATACTGATGGCCTTTAAGTAGGCAGAGCCTGCTGGAGCAGCTAAGGCGAATGCCGTGCTCATGTCATGATGGAGTAAAGTCATTGTTATCTGCCTCTACTCTGCTCTCCATTAAGTGTTGTATAGACTGAGCAAAAATGTATGCCATCTAAGCCATGCATAGCATCCAAGATATGGTGACTGATGACAATACATGCATCGACCTGTTTGAGAATATCCATTTCCGAGATAAACGGATGGAATCCTAACATTTGAGCAAATCATACGAGATATTGATTGGATATATGACAACTTCCATGGGAAATAGCTAGACGGACCGACGCAGCAATGCTAGCAGTATGGGTATCAGTCTAGCTTACAAAGCGCCTAACAGAGCCTGGGGCGGATACTCTGATCTATTTACCTATGTAATGGGCGGGCTGAAGTTTGCGTACAGAGCCTCTTGCATTGTTGATCCTCATTTTAGGTGACCAAGATGTCTGGAGTACAACATTTTACTGTTGTACCCGCATTGGGGGCGGAAAAAGGCTCACAATGCCCAGAATTTCCGAGGATACGGAACGGGAACTTTTGTATTCTCCATCGAAGCCAATAAAGTTGAAACCGTGTGTTGATAAGTGTCTATGCATAGAGCCGCAGGGTAAAAGCCATTGTAACCCGGCTCCATGCATTGCTGACTATGGCTAGGTTTAGTCATGATGGCAAGTGCAGAGTAATTTCCGAGGTCCGGCGTCAGCGTACGCTGGGTGGTAATTTGTAGTCGTCTTTGTAATCCGAGCCACCAGCGACTCTATTTCGCAGTGTAGATCTATCCTGGGGCGCAACTCCGGTATTCCCACATCACTTTTCCTTCTCCTCTTACTTGTTGTTGCTGCTGCTGCTGATGATGATGACGATGATGTTGTTGTAGTTGTCGCGACGTCGTTGAAAGTAGAAAAGTAGAAAAGTTGAAATTAGGGTTCGTCCCGGCTTATATAATCAAGTTTGAATATCAGCCAACCACAAACCGAAGGCCTATTTAGCTCTCTATGATTGGTCGATAAAAGTCGACTTTTGAAGATAGCCTCATGAGTCACGTGAATATCATCATTTTCTATTTTTAATTTTTTGGCCGAGTATAAAAACATGTAACGCCGCCAGCTCATGAATAAATAACGGCAGTCTTGAGAGCAGGATCGATACTAACTAGCGTGCTAGATCACGCGACAGATACATAACTGGCTATCACGGAGGCTGTTAAAGCATTTTGCGCTCTACCCATTTCCCGAGCTGAGACGTTACTGTTATGCCCAGAGCTAGGACAACTGCCGTCCTGTTTCTGCTTAATGGTAACTACTCCGTACTTTTGTTTATAACGCTCAGATAGCACGGGAAACCAGCAACATGCCGATTGATCAGTTATGCCATTACTGCAATACTGGTACTTTTTCAAATCTCCGGATTCCACCAGTCACAGATTCGAGTCCGCCAGACAGATACGGCTTACAAGTTACAGAAGATCAGCTATCTGTTGATCTACGTCGGGAGATGTTTCTGAATAATTCGGCTTATGGTCTCAAGTGCCTCAAAATCCAAATTTTGGTGCACACTGGAGTTGATGTTAGGAGCCTTGTCTTCTGCTTTTTCTCCTAATGCTAATCATGTCGAGCGAGCGACCCATTTAATGCCATGACGTTCAGCTACATGGAGATCGTCGCCAACCATGTTGCTTTAATTAAACGTGGCAGACCGCCAGCGGAGGGCAAGAAAGCTCCATGGTTGTCGTTTTCGATCTATCGTCTGATATTCAGCGTTTCTGGTTTACTGCCGAATGTAGGAACCGAGATGATAGTCAATGTCAGGGATGTTGATTCGGAGCTGTGTCAAGGCATCGAGATATATTAATTCCCCAGATGCCTGCGACCTTTTAGCGATGTCTTCTAGTTGGCCGTCTGCATATATCCCTGTAACAAGCTAATTAACTGGTTGGCTGTTGTTGCATGATATCGTTTACTTTTGGACATCTAGCAACCACACCACTACAGAATTTGGCTACTTACTGTCGATGCCTTTGATAATTACGCCTTCTGCCAGATGTAAACACTTGATCGTGTCTACCAAGCTGCGGCCGAGGTTCGGATAAAGGGTGATCTCACGCCGAGAAGGCCGTGACACCGTGAGATGGAACATGTATACGGAGTATCTACCTTGACATTGGCGAACCAAGAAATCATATATCCACATGACCATGGAGCCAAATACTACATTATATTCAGTTGACCCATTTACCTGCATGAATAGTTGCCATGCTCGAGGAATGGGTAAGAAGAAATTCAGAGCGTGAAGAATGGCAGTGGGAGTGAGGACTTACGTAGTCAACAGGCAGTTAGCAAGCTGAGAGGGTGATTGTCAGTCGGTAGCAGGGTAACTGATATAAGATAACCAATAATACACAGGCGAGGGCAATATCAACGGCCGGGCTGGTTGGAGGATTTCCCTTGATGTGCATCGCTAGTTAGGCCCACGGAGGCGATCCAAGGCTAGCCCGAGTCAACCGTCTGGAGGCCCTGCTGCCGTGCCAGACACAAATAACCACCGATCTAGTCAAATTTAGCAGACCTGTAGGTTTGGGTTGCATCCCCTCGGGTGGAGGGATCTAGGGAGTTGAGCCGCAGAAGCGGGTGAGATGGGCCTATAAGTCCCACCTGATATGCATCCCCAGAGCTTGACCCTCGACCTCTTAAGGGGTTGTAGAGACTGACCGGCTCGTCCAGCCGTGTCAGGGGGCGCCGTGCAAGCTGCGAGCTGCAGCAGTAGTTAGTGAGCAGCACCAGCAAAAAGAGGAGGCACAGCTCCTCCCCACCACCGCCGTATGGTCGCGCAGGAAACATGGCATCGGAATGGCTTGCAGAAGCTGGGCCAGAAGAGTTAAACCAAATCTTTGTTGATGTTGCTGGCACGCATGCAGTGCAACGGCACCATGCTGCAAGTTGAGGCCCAAATCTCGGGGTCGTCAGGGTTTGTTCCTGGTCGATGATCGTCCCGGTGACTTCGCTAACGCGAGAGTCAACTAGTTATTCCTATATTTGCTTCTCTGGGGTTGCCATGGTGTCTCGCGGACTGACTGCCCCCGGAGGCCTTTCTCCCCCCAGAAGTCAGCCGAAGGAGGAGGCAACCGGGGTCGAACGGGCCATTGTGACCCATACCGGCCAGTCTAGCTTCTCAGGCCGCCTGCTGCTCGTCTCCCGCCTGACTTTTTTTTTTGCATCTTCTTTGCTTTTGCCACGGTCGAGGAGTTGAAAGAAGCAGCACCACCACAGATCGCGAGCAGGTCCGCAGCGTCGTGCAGAGGCCGCTATATATATATGTATATATAAATACTCCGTATATGTATATATATAAAGATGCACGCAGCTCCCGCCGTTGACTCGGCTGTGCTTCTATCGTCTGTAGTCCTGGCATCGTCGTGTATAGAAACGACCAAGACATTTGTTGATATTCTTGACTAATAGCCGGGATCCTGTTTCGAGATGGAGCACGCGAGATACGCCCATCCGCGGCAGACTCCCTACCCATCCAGCCGCTCCATCAGCACCATCGTCGCCTCCATGTTTTCCAGCCGGCGCCAGGCCAGAATAGTGCTCGTCCTGCTTGTGCTGGGAGCCGTCCTGGCCGCAGTCTTCTCGGGGGCCTCATATTCCGCGTCTTCGTCTGCGTCTTCGCCATGGCTGCGTCGCCTGCGCCGGTCTGTCCTCTCTGAACGCTCGCTGGCGGCCGTCCTGCCGGCATGGGCGCATCTGACGGCCTCCTTTCTGCTCGCTCGACAGGCGCCCATCGTCGTCCTGCGCCAGGGAACCCTGATGGGCACGATCCGTGACGATGCTGACTTCCCGCATCCACTGGAGGCTTTCCTGGGCGTCGCCTATGCGCTCCCGCCGACGGGAGAGAGGCGCTTTGCCAGGCCAGAGCCGGTCGAGAGCTCCTCGCGCAAGATAGATGCCTCTCAATATGGTCTTCGGTATTGCTCTTATTCATGTTGTCGTGGTTGTTGCTGCTGTTCATGCTGGCTGACCCTGCTGATAGATGCATTGCTGGCTCCCTCGACGGGAATGACTGGGGGGAAGACTGCCTGACCGCAAACATCTTCCGTCCCATGGGGACCAAGGCAGGCCAGAAGCTGCCGGTGGTCGTCTATTTCCATGGAGGAGCCTTTAATCTGGGTGCAGGTATGCTCTTCTGCCTTTGTGCCTGCTTGGCTATATTTACGATGGACCCCGATGTTGACCCTTTTAACCAGGCCGATTCCACAACACAGCTGCTCTTCTGGCTTGGTCAGAGAAGCCGTTCATTGCTCTCAACTTCAACTATCGGTACGTGTCTATGCATCGTCTCTTCTGGAACTGACAGGCTGATATTTTCATGCATTCAGTCTCGGTGCATTTGGCTTCCTGTCAGGAGAGCTGATGGCAGCCTCCAACATGCTCAACACAGGCCTGTACGACCAACTCATGCTGCTCGAATGGGTTCAACGAAACATCGAGCAGTTCGGCGGTGATCCAAACCAGGTCACGATCATGGGCCTCTCGGCCGGCGCTCACTCGGTAAGAACCCTGCATATCTATAACAAAGAGTACATCTGGCAGCTAACTAACCCATGCTTGTTCCCCAGATCGGCCACCAGATCATGTATACAAAGAATGGCGGACGCCCACTTTTCCACAGAGCATTGCTGGAATCCGGGGCTACCACCGCTCGCGCTGTCTACCCACCCAAGGCTCCTCTACCTTCAGTTCAGTTCGACGAGTTTGCTCTTGCTTCAGGCTGTTCCAATGTCGATAGGGGCCAAATGATTTCTTGTCTCCGTAAGCAGTCCGTTAGGACTGTCGGACAGGCTTCAATTGATGTGTTCAACCGCTACAACCCTTCTGACCGGTGGGCCTTCCAGCCTGTTATCGACGGTAAGATCATCCGTGCAGCACCCATATCCGCTTGGGAATCTGGTACATGGAACAAGATCCCCATCCTTACTGGCTTCAACACTGATGAGGGATCTCCATTTACGCCTACCCGCCTGGATACCTCGGAGGACTTCACCAAGTTCTTCAAGGAGTTGATACCCGCCTTGTCTGAGTCGGATTTGAAAGAACTTAACAACCTATACCCGGATCCGGCCGTCCACCGAGAATCACCATACTACGACACTCGTCCCATAGATGTGGGTTCGCAGTACAAGCGTGGAACAGCAGCATATGGCCAGTATGCATACATATGTCCCATCCAACAGACCGCATACCACGCCTCGGCAGGCCAATCTGCCCCTGTTTTCTTGTACCACTGGGCTGTAAACACAACCGTTAAAGGCGGAGCAAGCCATGCAGACCAGTCTGCGTATGAGTTGTACAACCCTGGTATTCGAAAGATATCCAAGACCCAAAACCTGCTTGCGGGATACTTGCATGCTTATTTTACTTCCTTTGCCACCACCGGAGACCCCAATGCTATCAAGGGCAGATATGCAGACAGGCCTCGATGGGCCCCTTTTACCCCAGGGGAAAAGAGCGGCACCATGGTGATAGGAGAAGGGAACGATGAGCGTGCTGGCGGGAACAGTATCGGCGTCGTGGCCCGGATGGGCAATATTAGCTACACCAAGGAGGAGTGTGACTTTTGGTGGAAGAGGACGATCTTGTCGGAGTCGTAATCACTCACATACTTGCATGAACATACTTGCTTGCATTGTTTTTTTCAAGGCGCATTAAAGGTTACGGTCATTATTACTACATTCTTTCCCCCCCCCTTTATCTCGTTGCATTGTCGTGTTATTTGTCTCGTGGATAGAGACTCGGAATAGTGACACCGGATTCGGAGTGTCCTGTCTATAATTGGACCTAGTTGCATGGACATATATACTCTTCCTATCTACATGGTCAATTCCAGCTTAAGCAGTTGATTTTTATCAGTAGCCTGTGCCACCAGATATATCCTTTCCAAGCCTATATGCGCCAATCTTCTCCCACTCGACCTTCTGTCGTGTAATAGGGAGCTGTCGACGCAGGCCCTTGAATGCACCCTCGGATAACCGGTTGAACGCATCGTTCAGTTCTTCCTGGTGTTCTCGCTCGGTAGTTACAATACGCTTAAAGGCAGCATCGGCTGGGGAGGCCGAGGTTATCGATATGGACACCGGCTTCTTGTTGTTGAGAGAAACATTCCCGTCTTCGTAGTAATGAACGTCCACATGAATTGTGCCGGTGATTGTGCCACCCGAGGACACCGGCACGTTGTATATGGCGCGGTATCTACCGTTCCTAAACCAGGGTAAGTACCTAGATCAATTCGTTTGTGTGGGGATTTTTTCCATACCAGAAATTGTTAGGAGAGTATTTGTTCGCTACTAGAAGGATGGCGATGGAAGAGTCATCCTGCGAGGGATAAACGCCGTATGAACTGTTCGGGTAATGTTCACTGGCATGCGAGGAGAGAAGTTTAAGGTAGGATTTTCTGAATGGATCGGTTAGTATTGGCATTGGCTGCTTGCAAGGGGCAGAGGAGGCGCTAGCTGTGAACTGACATGAGGTCTGCGTTCTGAGATTCAAGCACATATGATCGGGGGTTGGAGGCTGTCTATATCGGCCTATCATCAGCAACGTGAAAGTCACGGAGATCCATGAAAGGGTAAGACAGAGCGTACTTGTGAAACATGGTCAAAGTCGAAGGACGTCTGGCTCTCAACATCAAAATACCTGCCGTCTTCGAGCTTGTTATAGGAGCTAACGATGACCTTCCTAACATCAGCATCCCAACCCACTTTAGTTTATAGTATAGAGTATACCTCTCGACTGCTTCCAGGCAGTTTTACTGCGGCAAGCTGTGCCTCATTGTATCTTCTAAAGGCCGGTTCGAGGGAAGGGATAAGATTGGAGTTGGAGGTCAATGCCTTGATATCTGGTATCAACACCCTGTTAGAATTATGTCCAGATCAACCGCTTTACACATCTGTAGGCTCACCGGCGACGACGTCTCTAAGCTAAATGGATAAGTTAGCTGGTGATGTGCTATCTTGCAATGGTGATGCCTTGCGTACCTCGCCTGGCGGGGCTCCCTCTATAAACGAGGATGCGATTTCGGCTTGAGAAGGCATTATAGAGGTAGGCCGGCAGTGAAAACCGTCTCCACAGATCTAAAGAGATAAATGAAAAAGCAGTAGGTCGAAGGTGGAAAAAAGAACAGGTCTCTAGAATTAATTGCTTGCTCGTTAACTACTGGAGTTGATGATGCGCCGCGTCGTCGGCTTGCTTGGATGTTGTTATTTGGTGCAGCCCGCGCCAAGCCAGATTAGATAAGCGGCCGATAAGATCGATCGATACATGGATAGCATTTGAATTAAGGGGGATAGTATGAAGTATATACAGGAGAAGATAAACGCCGTTGATAGACAGAGATGCCTCGCTAAATGGTATAGATGTGTAGAAACGCTGCAGAAGGTGTCGATGAAGATAGAGTGAATGGAGAGAGCAAGGGTAGGGGGATCAGTCAATGGTCATCTTCATGAAGCCGTCGCTGGTCTCGGTCATGCCCTGGAGACCGACTCGCTTGACTGGCCCGGAGGGCGAGCTGGTGTTGGCGGTGGGTTCAGCTGGATGGCTCCCCTGGAACAAGATGGCCTTGGATAGGTGGCCGACCCGGTTGGCCTCTGAACCAGCAGAAACATGACCTTGGACAGGGCTACTATGGACGCTGGGTCCTGGAGAAACAGCCCGGCGCTTGAATGAAGCCAGATCAAAGTCATCTCCCCGCCGTCGTTTGTTGATCTTGGCGAATGATTCTGGTTCCGTGTCTATGTCTTTGGGCTGTCGGCCCAGCATGCCAGCTTCCATGCCTGGAGACGCCATGGTTGAATCCCTCGCTGAGAGGGGCGGCGGAGTCCTGTACCGTCCATCGAAGGCATTCCAGAAGTCGATACCACTAGAGTTCCGGGATACCTGCCGGCTGAAGCTGGTGGGCGGCCTCTGATGCGCTTCCTCGGGGACAAGGCTGGGAGGGGTGGAATCCTTGATCTCCAACGCATTGGGCAGGATGGATTGGGGCTGCGGAGCGCCAGACGCATCGTTTTCTCGCACCTGGCGGACCACTTCTGCCTCTTTCTTAGTATCGCTCTCCACCGGAGCGCATTCTTCAAATAGGGTAGCCCTGATACGAGCAAAATTTTTGGGTTTTGGCTGTAGCCATGATTAGCATGGTATTAGATGCACAAGAATAGAATATCGGGGGGCGAGAACATACCAAAAGATTCCCTCGTCTGGTCACGGGCCGTCGAATGACGCCTCGACGACCAGACTCGGAATTGGAGCCTCCGGCAAGTGAACCACTAGATGGGCTGCTGACGCCGGCCTGTTTCCCGCCGTCCACGTCGTCACTCCCGTCGGACAGATGAAAGTCAGAGGGAATATGGGCTAGCTCATCTAGCTTTGACTTGATGTCCCGTGGGGCTAGGCTCTGGGACAGGGAACTCCCACCGACGCTATCTAGGGCCTTCTCTGCTGGTGGGGATCGGGAGGTAGCAAGAAGCCTGGGACTGGCACCGCTCGCACTGGAAGAGCTGTGTCTCTTCTTACTGCTGCGATATCGTGCTCGCTGGAAGTTCATCAAGCTCGCCTTTGCGGCAGAGAACCCGGACATCCAGTCTGCACTTGACGCTGGTATCAAACTGGGAGAAAATGGAGCAGAGAGTCCTAGTCCGGACTTCTTTGCCTGGGGAGTGATTCCGCCGGGGTCCCCACGGTCAAAGCCATGGATAGACCCGTCATCGTCTTCGTCATCGGTGCTTGATGAGTCTGAGTCGATCATGTTGACGCTGCCCACCGAGCTTGAAATGGCGGTCCTCTCAGCATGGCTGCCAGCAGAGGTAAGGCAATTGTGCAGTTGGTGATGCGAACTGCTGGGAGACCCAGCCATCCCCATCCCCGTGCTTCCTGCAGTCCCACGCCGTTGCGGTATGGCAATCCCTCTGCCGCTGACTACAGGAGACGAGTCTGGAGACGACTCTGCCAGCGTAGAGTGGTGTAGGTTGGTGCAAGCGCGCGAAAAGTCCAGCCCTCGAGAACGCCGCGGCAGGACAGACGCCGGCGAACCGAACGAGTGCGAGGAGTCCAGCTTCGGGGACAGCGGTATTCGGGCTGCTGCATGGCCGCTCTTGGGGCTAAACGGCTGTGGCATGTTCAGCGAGAGTCCCAGATGCGGTCGGCTCGCCCGCTGTGGCGTCTCTGGCGATGGTTTCGGCGCATCCTCTCTGCTCTTGACGGCGTCTCTGAAGCCCAGAGGGGTCGACTCGCGCGGGGGAGGCTGCGGCGCACCCCCAGCGTCCTCAATCTCTGCTTTTTCCGCCATAGTCCTTCATATGTCGAGGCTCGTATCTATAGTCCTTCGTTGTTGACGTCGTTGATGTTGATGTAACTAGTAGTTGTTGTGGTTGCGCCGCACATCGCAGCGTCGCCCGCTGTTGCCGCTCGCCCGCCCGTCGCACGCGCTTCCTTGCTGCGTCTCGTCCGTCTCAGGCTTCCTTCCGCGTTGTTCTTCTGCTCTTCTCCGCATCTTCAGCTCGTCGTTTTTTCCTTCTTCCGCTGTTTATTTTGTCGCCTTTTTTCGACGTCGCCGACGGACTCGAGATCTTAGGTAAGCAAAATATGACATCAGCTCACGTGATACTATTCACTATTATAACTGCTTTCCGCCCGATTAGGAAATATCAACGATCGACGAGGAAGCAAAAAACTTCGACGTCTTTTCGCTCTCGAGCTTCAGCTGCGGCCTTCATTTCGACGTCGCGCGCCCTCGTTGGCGCTGCTGGAGGCGGACTGAGACGCAGATCCGGGGCGAGGCCGAGTGCCGCCTGTTTTTTTTTGTTTGCTTTCTTCCGGGTTCCACATGTCGCTGGCTTGTTGAGCCTCCAAGGTACGTCGCGATCTCGGATTGACCAAGGCGTCGGCAACTCGCGCGGAGAGCGTCGCAGGAACCGGCAGAGAAGTGATATAAGGCGAGCCGACAGAGTGAGACTCTATCTGTCTCGTCTTTTTATTCAGTTAAACCTCACTTTGTTGCGCGGACAGCATTGCTAACCGGTTTTTTTTTACTGTTTAAGATGCATCGCGGAGCTTCGGGCGAGACGACTGAGGATACAAATACCTTTACGATAGATAGTGAGAGTGCTCCCGAGAGCTCTACTAGTCGCACGAACAGCGTTACGTCGGGCCGCATTCTACGTATCAAGCTCCCCCCGGCCTTTTGGGATACGTATCACCAGTTCAGAATGTCTCAGGAGGCGCCAGACGAGCCGCCGACCAAGCGCCAGAAGTTCACACCTATACCAGAGCCGGAGCCGATGGCATCAGCTGAGGACATAGCCGTGGCAGAAGCGGCGGCGGCGGCAGCAGCAGCAGCACAAGGACTACACAGGCATACTTCGGGTTCCCAACTCCAAGTGCGTCAGCAGCAGCAGCAGCAGCAGAAACATGCGCAGGAGCCTGTTCCCCGGCCTACAATCGTGGATGTTGAGAGTGGTAATAGGGAAGAAATGTTGCAGAGTGATGTCTCTTCGTCATCCGACTCCTCATTGTCAGATGGCGATGCAGATATTCCATACTCCATGACCAACAACCCTCACCCGACAGTGGAAGCTCCCTTGTCTGTTACTGCCAGCACACCCAATGGCTCACAAAATATACTGCCTGCGCCCACTTCAGAGAAGCCAGATGTCAGGGTGAAAACGCCCTCTACCCCTGTCCCAGGTAGGACTCACCGCTGCGCCCCTTTGACATCCCTGTCTAATTCTCTTTATTTGTAGAAGCGAGACCCAGCGTCATGGTCACGGTTGTTGGTCACGGATCTGGAAATTTCCCCGTCTTGCACGTTACGCCTAACTCACAACTTGCCTCCAGCCTCCGTGATATTCCCTGCGCAAGACCCATTGCCTGGCGCAATGCCACCCCGAGGGAGCTCCGCAACCAATGGACTCGAGATGCAACCATTTATTTCTCAAGGGGGGAACTTGCTCCTGAACCCTGCACTTCGTGTCTGCGCGGGAGGGGGCCCTTTGAACAGTGCGTCCGTCCCCCAAACCCAACTGGCCAGCCACCCCTAAGGGGCGCCTGTGCCAGTTGCATCTGGACGGGCAACCCTAGAACCTGTTCTTTCCGTACGTCTACCCCCATCTCTCTGAGGTATAACCCCCAGACACGCTTGAGACTAACATGACCCCTCCAGATCCTGACCATATCGTACTTGGCCATGCTCACCCGACTCCTTCAAAGCTCGGGAACAAGAGGGCCTCCATAGTTCCACGAACCCCACGCACTCCCAATACGCCATCGTCTGCTACGCCCTCAAATCCCACGGCAATTCGCCCCCTGCCTTTACATGAACACTCCTTTAATCCCCATCGCAACACCATCAATGGAAATGCTAGCAACGACATAAGGAGCAACGTACACAACGGTGCTCGCGGTCACGACAACATCAACCCCAACCATAACCAAACCCAAAGCCATAACCAAAGCCAAAGCCATAACCACAGCCATAACGTCAACCACATGAACAGCCCTCAGCCTAACGCCAATCAGGCGGCCGGTAATAACGGAACACAATCCGCGAATAATCTCCCGGTTTCTCCCGCGCAAACCAATCCATCATCTGTTGCGCCATCCCCTCCAAACCCGCCGAGCAACAAACCTCTCCCTCCGCCCTCCACTAAATCTCAACCACACCGTACCAACCCATTTCCGCATCACTGCTACTTCAATATCCCTGAAAAGCTTAATGGCAGCAATCTGACCGAGGTCCTTAAAGCTATTCAGGAAATGGAAGCAGTACGAGCAAAACTCAGAGAGCGAGCTGCTTTTTTAGAGCAGCTGGGTGATACCTGGTAATGAAGCCAGTTTCAAACGGAGAAACAACAACCAAACCTCTAACCGTCCCGGATGAGAATATATATTTTCTTATTTGGTTCCCATTTCCTTCCAAGTTACAGTCCCGGCATGATTTACATATTATTTTTTTTTATATCTATTAATTACTTACTTCAGCGCTGAGCTTCCGTGTGCAAGCTTCTATAACAGGGCCGGTATGATCACAGGCTATGGCTCTCTCGTCTTTACCTTGAAAATTTCTTACCCATGGAATACCCTTATTGTTTTATTTTGTTTAATACCAGCCTCGAGAGCTACTATTTACAGAATTATATATATTGACTTATAATGCATAGTTGGTCAACAGAATCAGAGTGGAGGTAAATAGGTTGAACTGCTATGAATATATATATATGTGTGTGTGTGTGTGCCTTGTGTGTATGGACACTCTTGATGCTGTGTAGTAAAAAAAGAAGAAAAAGATAAGGATAATCACTAGTACAAACGCGCAGAAACGCCTCGCATAGCCCACCATGAATGATTCTAAAAATACAGATCACAAACTGGATACCAGTGCTTACCGCCCGCTGTCAAGATGTTGCATATGGTACGCCTGCTCATTATACACTTGCTGCGGCTGAAACGCCTGCTCCTCATCGCTAACCCGTTGGAAGCCATGCATCGCCCCCTGGTCATCGGGATGATAAGGTGTATCACAATCTGCAGACCACAGAGAAGGATAATAGCAGCGGTACACCAAGTACGCTGTCCCCAGACCTATAATTGACCCGCTGCAAACATCATACACGTCGTGACGGTAATCTGCTATGCGGGAGATGGCAATCATGAGTGCCCCAAGCAGTGGAGACAGGGAGACAAGCAGACGGGCAAGTCCTGATCGAGGGCGCCAGGCCCGGAGCTGACCAGTAAGGAAGCTTTCCAACTGTTAGAATAATGGTGCCTGGACAGCAGCTGGTGATAAATAAATACTTACAAAGAAAGGTAGCCCAATCCCGAAAATGCAAAGCTACTATGTCCGCTTGGGAAACTCCGCCAACCTTCATTTAGGATATGCGTGTCTGTCGATGTACATACTGTATGGTCGACCAATGTATGTTCTGGGGTGCCCTTTTCTGGTTTACATCGTGAAATCAGGTCCGGCCGTGGCCTGCCAACGGCATTCTTGATTATATCGGTAATAAAGATGGTAACTAGCAGCGAAGCGATGAGACCCAGGAGGGTGACATGGACGAAGTGGCTCCCTGGCCGAAAGAGGACACACCAGATACCGATTGCAAGGAGAGGGAAGATGCCGGAGTATATGATGCACCATACTAGTACAAAGACATGTTAGATAGACTGTGACGTGCTTTTTTACGGCCGTGTATGGTGCCTTACAGACTGGTACTCGCTCGACGACAGCAAAAGGGTATTGAATAGAGGAATTATCCAGGCTGAACAGCTGGTAGAAGGGGTGTACCAAGAGTTGTAGCTTTGATACGCTAGTTAGCTAGCTGCTGCTTGATATCAGGGGGTCGGTCAACTTCGCAAAAACGTACCATCACCCACGCAAAGACGAGGAATATAAGAATCGAATAGTCCCCGCCATATGAGCGGCGCCAGAACCGCACGAGAGCCCCCAAACAGCCAGGCTGCTGAGCAAGCTCTGAAGCCTTTCGTCCGTCCATTGTCGTTCTCGTAGCTCAGGGGGCTAGCCTAGAGGAAGCGCACCTCTTTTGCATTTCACATATGCCTTCGGCGCTGGAAAAGAGAGTCAATAGTAAACGAGTGAATAGATTCTCTCCGGCCAGCCTAGTCTTCCAGCCACGTCCATCCAAGAGTCTTCCCTGCAAGTCCGCTGTCTCTTCGTCTCCTCGCGCGGCGCTGCAACTTCGGTCTCACGTCTGAATCTTTGGATGTTTTTTTGGCTTTTTTTGTTGATAGGCGGGATTACATAAGCAGGAGCTTCGGCAACGACGTGCGAAGGCAGGGAAGAAAAGACAAGCCAGAGCAACAACACGACATCGACGACGATCGAAGAAGAAATAGACGAAGAGGAGAGAAGAACGAGCCATCTGAGAGGCGCTACCATGGAAGAAGGGGCCCAGAGAGGCGTCACTGCAGCATTTCCCCCGCCGCCACCGTTTTGGAGACACTTTAGCCGGGCCAACTTGAACAAGCTTGAGGATGCGAAGCGAGCAGCGCGGCCAGATGACGACCACGAGCAGAGGACGGCGAGCAAGGACTGGACGCCAGCTGAGCTTCAGGCGCTAGATGTGGCGCCAGAGCTGAAATATCTGATACCGCCAGAGCCGCCAACAACGGATTATGTGCTCTTTGGCGAAACGCAGCAGGTTAGGGATTCATCATATCCTAGTCCGTGAGGACTGCAGTAACTGACCAGAAGGCTACAGCTCTCCCCGAATCCCCCTTCGTTGGGCGACCAGGGAATAACTCAACTCTATCCGTCATCCTCGGCCACGTCTGGACACGCATATCATCTTACCAAAATCACCAAGTCACTACTGCTCAACTTCCTCGAGCTCACTGGAATCCTTTCCATTGCGCCGGAACATGCTGAGGAGAAGCTACAGATGATTCGCACATTATTTATCAATGCATACCATCTATTGAATTTGTACCGGCCCCACCAGGCACGAGAGTCGTTGAGCGAACTGATCGAGAGACGCATCGAGATGGCCAAGGAAGACGTGAAGCAGATGGAGGAGATAGAAGGTAGAGTTGCTGGTTGGCTTGAGATGATGTCGAAGAGTGATAAAGTAGAGGAAGCCAGCGATGACAAGATGCAAATCGAAAAAGAGGGAGAAGACGACCAAAAGGAAAATCTTAAGCGGGTCTCAGAAAATGATAGTGAGATTGAGGACGCGCGGGTGATGTGGAGGCTTCTGGATGAGATCGAAGAAGCTGGATGAAGCTGGATGCATTACCGGTACCCACAGCCTTGTCTGGCCGGATCAAACACACCTACCTTCCCCCATACTAATTCTATGCTGTAACGGTTGCAGAGTCGGCTTGCCTACAGGCTACATTTCCAGGAAACATCTCCTCGAGATGACACACATAAGAGCAGGCATTCCTCATTCGGCATTGACAAATGCAGAGCTGGCCTGGATCAAAAGCAGCCCTTCAAGTGCAGCTGAAGAATCCGGGCTTCAGCTAGGGAGACAGCTTTGTAGAATTTATTGCACCCTATACATAGGTGATGCTCTAAGGGAGTTACAGTTGCTTTCCAGTCCTACCCCTAGGGTTAGGGATAGTCAAGCGAATATCTTAAATTTTATCAAGCAGTGTGGACAAGAAAAATGGAAAGAATTATAGATGCGAACGCTGTATTTGTTGGAAATGGGTCATTATCAACTATGTACAGCCAGCCGATACCCCAAGGACTTCCTCCATTCTCCTGCTTGTTGATTCAACCCTCGATGACCGACCGAAATGGGAGGACGAAGTCAGTCTACATGACGACACAGACACATTCGCAGTCTTCGTCGCCGCAACCGCAACCGAAGCACGGCTTCGAGACGCCCTTGATAGGCTTGGTGACGGAGGATGCCGCAGACGAACCAGAGGAGGTGGGCAAGGTCTCGTTGACCAGGGTAGTTTTCGTAGCTTCAGCCATGTTGATAACTATGCAGATTTTTATTAGCAGCTATTCGGACATATTCAACTTCCAACGTCGCAATAACGTACATGAAGGCAGGCCTTGGTACGGGGTCACAACGGTCTTGGAATTGCTTGTCTGATCTTGGCTTCTTCTGAGCTGAGAGCATGGACGTACGAGAGTAAGGGGCGTGTGGCTGGTTAAATACGTTTGCGTCTGCTACATTCGGTGTACCCCTGGGTTAGCTGGCCGACTATCATGATGACGAGGCCGGGATAGCCACAGCTGAGATGGAGACGGCAGGTAAGCGAAAGCGTGTCTCAGCTGCAGGCTGGCGTGGAGCTTGTTTAGTCTAGTAGTACATTGCTGTCTATAATTTGTCGGTAAAAAGGGGAAAGTAGTAAACTGAACAAAAGGTACTTTTTTTTTTTTCATCTGGCAGGCAATAAATAACAATTCTTATCTCATTATCGTTATGGTTGGTTCCCGGCACCGAGCCGGTTCCAGCTGGGGGTATCTTGATTCTGATCTCCTATCTCCCTCGCACCATCCTGCCCTAATCAGTTAATTGGGGCAGGGGCTTTCTCTATAACATGTATGTATGTCTCATCCCCGTCTATCCACTTTTTGCTTTGGCATTCATGAGCTAAGTTTTTCAACAAAAGCAGCTGCTCCACCGGGCTGCATTTTATTAATCCATTTGACAAGCTCAATTAGCTCGGACCGGCGTTCGTCATCTAGTTGGTCGCTGTCTCCAGTGAGGACAGACTCAAAGATCGGCAGCAGACGGGGTGTGAGTTGGCTGATTGTAGGGTTCTCCCATTTATCTAGGATATGTTAGCTTAACCACACAGAAAAAAATTTTTAGAGTTAATAGAAATATCAGGGGAGACATACAGAGTTGGCAGATCATGCGGTAGATGGGTTCGTTCTCGTCAAAATCATTCTGCAGTGGGAGGACGTCAACCAGAGCAGGAAGAACTTCCTCCAATGGAACGTTCTCGTGGTGCTTAATGATCAGGCGGGCAATACATCCGGCAGCATTATCGGGGAGCCTAGCCTGCTGGATTTGAAGGCAGCGAGTAACCTTCTCTAGAATGGCGGGGTAAGCAGCCACGAGCTCAGCATCGGCCTCGGATTTTTCAACTAGCATGCCAACAGCATAACAGGTGTTGCTACGAGTCTGCATGTCTTCGTCGGTGAGTCGGTGGGTGAAGAGGCGGAAGAAGTTGCCAGTGTATGGGGTGATGGCATTTCCGAGCCCAGAGATCACGTCGGCAAGAACACCAATGGAGGTCGAGCGCTCGAGAGATTCGCTGCTAGCAGCAAAGCGGAGGACATATTTCTCGAATGCTGGCCAGAGAGCAACGAACTCAGCGCCAAGAGCGATAGCGAGGCC